TGAGTCTTGAATTTTTTAATGGACTGCTGTGTCAGCCATTCCATCGTTTTGCTAGGGTCTTATTTTGTCCTAATTGATCTGAAGTTACCCAAAATAATTTATACAACTGAAGTAATACTAATTTTTAAAATACTTGTTACAGAGGTTAATAAATAGATTGTACTTTTCCAGTTGATGCAACAGTTATGTATGATGGCTATGGTTTAGACAGAAGCATTGTGATAACTATGACCTTTATGTGGCTCTCAAGACTCTCAATTCATTTTTGGTGTCCAGAAATTTTGAAGATGGAGTGTTGCATGTGTTAGTGAAACATTTTGAAAGTAAAGCTTCATATCCTTTAGACCAATGAAGTTTAACCTAGAACTTGAATAAAGAGGTATAGCAAGTTCATATTCAGGAATCTATGGTGACTGTAGCCCTGTTAGAATTAATCCCCTGATTTTCAGGAAGATTATAACTACAAGGATGGTGGCTCTTACATTGCTGTATGTGGTCCTCTTTTTAAGCTTATGTAGAGATAACCTCAAAGATTTTAACCCTTAATCAAATTGTTTATTTAAAAAAACAAACCAAGCCATCTTTCGGTGCTTCTTTACCACCTGTTTTTCTTCTTATATAGGCTTTCTTGCACATTAGATGAAGAAAGTACTTTGTTCTTGACATTATCCCAGGTTGTGAAAACTTCTCAATCCTCCAAATTAATATAATCACTTCACTTCATATAATTGTTTCATCTCCATCCTCTGTTGGGATCTCCCTAGTATTGTAATAATTTCTCCCAGGCAACATGGTCATTTTTTCCTTCAAGGGGAAAGATGCAAAGCTAAGTGAAGTGAATTCTCACTTCCTTGTTATCAGGAGATTGGCAAACATGTTTGCTAAATGCAGTTAGCACCTTAGTAGCAAGTAGAGCCAGAAACTCAGGTTAGGGCAGGTGGTATGCCTTGCAGGTAAATCAGCACCTGAAACCTGAAGTCTTAGGAGATTAGGCAATGAACTGTCTACCTGATGACTCTGACACAGTTTATTTCTTTATTTCTGTTTATTGTACTTTGTGCATGCTAGGAGTAGAGTTAAATCCCCTCCCCTCAAAACCCAACCAACCCAATAAAACTGAAAAAAAACCTTAGCATTTCAGATCTACGCAGGTTTGAACAGTAGGAGGGAAAAAAAACAGTAAATCATAATTTGTCAGTTACAAAAGTACACCTAAACTAATTTTTTAATGTACGAGTAGAACTAGATTGCAGGTCTTGGTTTCTTGTGAAGAATTTGAGTTTACTTGCCACAGAATTGATTGCATGTGTTGCTCTTTTGGTGTCTTCTGTATTGGTGGCCTCCAAAGTGGGGTGCGCAAGACCATCCATTGAGGTGCGGGAAGAAAATATTAGGACTTACATTTAATCTGAAAAATAAGAAAGAATTTAAGCTCTGTTTAATATCCATATTGCCGCTGGTGCCCTCACTTGGTCCATATGTAAGGTGGTCCTGTGTCACATATGATTTTGAGGTGTCCTGAGGGTGGATTTAGTATTCCACAGCGTGGAGGGGTCACAGTAGCACCTTCACTTGTTCATTCACTTTCAGTATTGCAGTGTATGCAGTTTATGTGTGCTGGGTTAGGTAGATTTATGGATTATATTACCTAGTTTTAACTAAACTAACCCTCACAGAATGGGCAAGTGGCTTAAAAAAAAAAAATCCTGCAAAGAGGCCACGGATTGAAGACAATACTAATAATGTGAGCACAACTGAACAATAAGAACATGGCAGAGCTGACACTTCTCCTACAGGAGTATGAGCTCCTATGTGGCCTCATTATGAGGTAAAAAAGATGGCAATTAGATCTGACAAGGTGTTGGCCAAAAAAATTTGAGTTTATCAAGAAGGCTATTTGAAATATGGATTTATATCCACTATTGTTAATGATGAACCTCACTCTAAGAGAATATTGTGCCTTGATATATCAGCTAATGATAGTATGAATTAGCAAGACATTTAAAAACTGAACATCCAGAACATGAAGACAAGCCTCTGCATTTTTTTCAGCAATGTTTAAAGTCATGCGATACTCAGTCCCGTACTTTACAAGATTTCACTAACCTTAATGACAGATCTTTAGAAGCCTCTTTTGAGGTTTCTGAATAGCAAAAGACCCAGAAGCCACATACCATTGAGGAAACATTTGATCTTCCTGCTGCAGTAAAAATGTCTGAAATAATACATGGAAAACAATATGGTGACAAACTGAAATGCATTCCTTTGTCCGCAAGTACTGTTGGATGATGTTTATGAAACATTGCCAAAGATTTGAAGAAGCAAATACTAGAAAAAATTACAGTGTGGGAGGCTTGCTGGACAGTTGGATGAAAGTGCAGATGTTTGTCTCAGCTTACAGTACTTGCTAGATTCTGTGTCAATAATGAAATGCGCAAAGAACTAAGTCACTAAGCAAGGATGTACCAGAGAAGATACTTCTTAACAGTAAATGACTTCTTTAATAACAACAGGTTTTTTTGATGGAAAAACTGTGCAAATGTAACCACTGATGGAGAGGGTGCTTTGACTGAAGCAAAAAGGATTCTGGGGTAAGGTTACAGGGAGAGCATCACACGTGGATTTCATTCACTGCATCATGCATAGGCAAGCAGCAAGAAATTTGGAGCGAGAAGCGCAAGAAGTGCTGCAGGATGTCATCAATGTAGTTAATTGTGTGAAAACAGGACCTTTAAATAGTAGAATCTTGGCAATAATTTGTAATGACATGGAGAGGGACTGGGAAAATCTTTTGTACCATGCAGAGGTTTGCTGGTAATCATGGCAAATCACTTAGAAGAGTTGTAGAAGATTAATTACGTGTTTTCTTTCACAAAAAGATGAGTGTTCTGAATTTGCTGACGTGTTCTATGAGGACAAGTGTCTGTCAGCAGTATGCTGACTAACAGATATTTTCAAAAAAAATAAAGACACTTAATGTGTCCCTTCAAGGTGAAGATGGCATTTTAACAATGAGCAAGAAGCTGACAGCTTTTTGGAAGAAAGTCATGCTGTGGAGACACCATTTTAAAAAGAGTTGTTTGGAAGTGTTTCCATCATTGTGTGATTTTGTTACCAGAAAGGATACAGATCATCTATAAAAACTTTTGTATCTGTACACTTAAACTTGGAAACAGAATTTCCTCACCCATTTAAAAGCCTTCCAAATGCAGAGTTTCAGGGAGTTTTGAACCCATTTGTTAAAAATATAAAAATGCAACACCTTCCATTAGTTTGCAATTACCACTGATTGATATGCGGGAAGAAGGAAATTTACTGGCCAAATTTCAAGAAAAACCTTTGTATAATTAGTGGATGGGAATGAAAAACTAGTATCATGATTTAATAAGTGCAGCCAGTGATGCACTTTCATTTGGGTGTGCGTATCTTTGTAAATTGTCTTTTCCAGCTATGACAGCCATTAAAACCAAGTATTGAAATAAACTCAATTTAGAACCAGACCTTCAAATCACTGTGTTACAAAGTGTTAAGCCAACATTTTTAATAATGGTCAAGCATATTCACATGGCTCTTGCAAAAAAATTAATTTTTTTTTTTTTAGTGAGAGCAAAAAGGTTTTTTTACCATTAATAATAAAATTATTTAAAAATACTGTTTATTTCATCTCTATCTCATCCTTTTTAATTTCTATTTTTATATGTTTTATAGTGTACAGAATACATTAGTACAGTAGTACCTATATATAATTTATAAATAAATACACATATTGGGGGTACATGCTCAAAATTTTTTTACTGATACGATCTTTTTTTACTTTCACAATCAAAAAAAATTTGGTGACAACTGTTCCCATATTATCATTGATACCAATTAATGTTCACAGAAATATAAGAAAGTTCACCAGATCATAGTGTATTTTACATGTACATATTCTTTTCTCATGAAAAATACTTGCTGATAGAAACTGATATCTGACAGATATTATACTTCTATCTTTGTTTCAGGTGTAGTAATGCAGGACAGGAGTGATGTTGTCTGTCCGTGTTTCAAGTGCTGGGATGCCCCAGCTAAGGTCAAAGCCACAGTAGTTTAGTGGACAAATGATCAGATGGGGTGGTCCTTGTTAAGTGCTTACTGTCTCAATACATGCGGCTTACGAATTTCTGAAGGGGGCCTACAGGAAAGATGGTGAGGGGCTGTTTATCAGGGAGTATAGTGACAGGGCAAGGGGTAATGGGTTCAAGCTGAAGGAGGGTTGATTCAGATTAGAAAGAAATTCTCTACTGTGAGGGTGGTGAGGCACTGGAACAGGTTGCCCAGGGAAGCTGTGGATGCCCCACCCCTGGAAGTGTTTAAGACCAGGTTGGATGAGGCTTTGGGCAACGTGGTCTAGTGGAGGGTGTCCCTGCCCGCAGCAGGGGGGTTGGAACTAGATGATCTTTGAGGTCCCTTCCAACCCAAACCATTCTGTGATTCTATGATTCTGTGAGGGAAGTGATTTGTGGGTGGACAACAGTGGTATAGAAAGCTGATTGCAAATCCAGGGATAGAATTTAAATGTTCTTTGTCTGAATCACTTTTGTTACTGCTTGAGTGTATCATTTTGGGGACAGCTTGGTTTTCAAGCATGTAAATGTTTCAGATGTGTTGTTCATTTGAAGTTGTTGGTTCTTAGCTCATCTGAAATCAGACCGTAAGTGTACCTTCTGGAGATAGGAATATTGATATGTCAGCTGAATTTTTTTTTTCTTGTCTCAGTTGTTCTAAACTATGTAAATGTATGCATTAGTGAAGTGTCTTTGTGTCCTCAAAGATAATGTGGGAGAAATTTCCAAAGTAATTAGTTTTTTTAACAGGTATAAATGAAATAATGTGTTCTACCATACCTAAGTAACATTTGGTAACTTGCTGATTAGTTGAGCATTTTATTTAATAGTTGTAACTAACATGCAGAGATAAGTACTTTTTAATAAGCTACCTGTGTGCTTTATTTTTTTTAGGCTAAAGCCTAAACCTCTGACATGGCCACAGCCTCACCAAGATCTGATACAAGTAACAACCATAATGGAAGATTACAGATGCAAGTAACAGGCAAGTAGTGATTTGTATCATGGTGATTTTTATAGGAAAACATGTATTCTGAAAAAGCAATCTTTTAAATGAGTGTAAAAATTGATCAGTATCATTAATATTTTAATTAATAACTTGAACATTACAGTCAAGAATATGACTATCGTGTAGATAAAGCTAGGTAGAGGTTATACAGTGAGTTGGATGACAGAGTTTAATGATCTCAAATTAGAAAAAAATGAGATTCAGTACAACAGTAGGGACAAATGTAAAGAATTTTGGTTGGGAACAAACAATTAATGGCACTAAATTATATAATGGGAACACATACTATTGAAATTCTACAAAAAAAGATGAGCAGTTTTAGTGAATCCCAAGTTGAAAATGGGTGCAATGTTATAGTGAAGCTGGAGAAGAACAGGAGATCACAAAATCTGCTAGCCCTTCAAGAGAGTAAGGTCTTTGATTACATATCAGGTAAACATCTGTTGAGAATAATATAGATATTCTGTATTATCCTTAGGGCACCAGATTGGATTACACAGCCATATGGAATAATTTAGGTTGGAAGGAACCTTTGGGGATTTCCTAGTCCACTCTTCTGCTAAAGGCAGGGCTGCCTTTGAAGTCAGATCAGGTTGTTGCCAGATTTAATTTTCAGTATCTCAGAGGCTGTAGATTACCAGCTTCCCTGGGCACCTTGTTCTGGTGATAAACCACATCACTATGAAAATGTTTTTCCTTCTATCCAATTGGAATTTACTATGTTGCATCTTGTGACTGTTCTTTCTTCCTTTTGCTGTGTTGGTTCTCATAGTTTGAAGCAGAATTCAGCCATCCCAGTATCTGCTGGAAGGGGAACACAGTGGGCTACAAGTGATTCTGGAAATTTCTGATTGTGTTGGGGATACTTTTTTCAATAGATGTTGAACAGGGCAAGTAGGTTATGCATTTTGCTACTTATGGGTAAGAATTGGTCAGGGATGTGACAATCGGTGTCAGTCTTAGCAGCTCTTTCTGAGAGCAGCTCTGTTCTGCAGAGCAGAACAAAAACTTGCTGTAGTCCGAAGATAAGCAAAATGCATCTAGGTAAACAAGTTTGGTAGCTAATTATGACAGCGTTACACTAGTTAAAAGTGAAAATGTTACCAGCAAGTAGTTAGATATTGTGCATAAATATATATACACGTGAATGTATGTGTGTGTATGTATATAAGTATTATTTTACCATTGATAAATAACTTGAATTTTCTAGAGATCCTGAAAAATCTGGGAACCCTGAAGTAAGAACGAATGCATGATCAAGAATATGTTAAGGCTATCTTGAATAAAATTTGGAAAAAACCTGAGTAAGACACCGTGTCTTAAAAAAAGCTACATCTCAAGAAAGATATGTCATGCTGGATTGTCCAAAGATGACCAGGTTATCTGAGAAAAAATACATTGTTGGAGAGTCCCCAAAATGGATATTTTATCAAATTATGTAAGAGAGGAACCTTAAAACTGATTAACCTTGTGTAAGGATCACATAACTTGATAATGTGATGAATCATCAAAACTGGCAATAACTAATAGCATAGATGGAGCCAACTGTAGATTCAATATCTATATAACTGTAACAAACTCAGTTACACAAATGACCCGTAACTTCAGATCTCTGTATGCAGAAATGATGATTCTGGTATCCTGTACCGTACTGCTCCTTATGTAAATAACCGTGTATTTTTCTGGCACTGGAGCTTCTCTTGACTTCAAGAGATCTGGTTCAAGGATCAAAGTGGGAAGAAAATCTGTGCAATTTTTAGGATTTGTTTTCTGAAGGCTTAGTTCTCTAACCAGTCTTTATTGCAAGATCAGAGGAACGCCAGTGGCAGTACAGGGAAAAAAGTGGGAGACAGAGGAGTGTGGGGCTGTAGTATTGCTGACGTGTGCTCATCTAGACTTAGATCTCAAGAACCAGACTTAAAAAGCGCTTTTATAAAGGCAGCAAGTAGCATATACTCATTTTGTAGACAAGGGACTTCATATGGAGTGGTGACTTGTTCGAGTTTGGACAGTTACAACGTTTCCAACAAGTTTTTCCATCAGTATTTTTTCAAATGTATGTGGTGACATATCTTGTCTTGTTAGTTCTTTTTGAAGTTTTTTGCTAGTATTTATTACTTCTAATTTTTTTAAAAGAAGTCCTAACCAAAAAAAATGATAATTGTCTCCTTTCATGTTTGGCACTCAAAACTTAATGACTTAAAACATAATCAGATAAGGTGGAAACTAAAAGGAAGCTTGAATATTATGACTAAATACCTATTTTTTAACAAATTTGTTGCAGTTGCTTTTAGAAAGCAAAATATGGAGAAAAAAAAAGTGGAAGAAGTAGAGGTTGTTAAAGCTTAAAAATACATAATGATTTCAGATGAAAAAATACTACCTATGTGTGGAATTCTGTTATTAGTCTTCTACATTAATCTTTCATCCTTATCAAGGCTGCACTTCCCTTTTATGACATGTGGTGCATGACTTAGACTGGACTTTTCAGTTAAGAAGGGAGTTAAGTGTGCACCTTTTCATTGAAATTAAGTAAGAGTCCATGGCTAATGCTTTTAGAATCTTGGATGGTTGCATCTGCCTAACTTTTAAGTAACTAATGGATATTGTAATCCAGAAATACTTGACAGACCTTTTTTGACTCCCTTTCAGACAGTTTAGTTAACTTGCACATATTTTTGAATTAGCAAGTATGATGCAGAAAAGTAACATGGAACGATTATTTCCAAGTGGCTGAAAATACTCAGCTTTGCTTTGGTTTGAAAGTGGAAGGAAAGAGAATCACACTGAAGTATGGGAGTAATGAGAGAGAAGGCATAGCCAGCAGGTAGGTACTGCTGCAAGTCCATCGATGTGGTCTTCTGAGGACAACATCTGCCTGAAATAGAATTTAAAGTGTTGGCAGTTAGTCTGCTGTTGGTTTTTATAGTGACTCCCTCAGCTGGGTGAGGAAGTGGGAATACAGATTTATGTTTGGGGGCACTGAGTACCTCAGCAGTAATTCAGGGGTAAAAAATAGCTTCTTTGGTCATTTGCTTAATTGCTGAATATTTAGCTGAAACTTTAAGTTCATCTGCAAAGCTGTTTAAATAGGGGAAATTTGAGAACTGATTTCTTACTTTTAACAAACTGTTGTGTTAAACCACAGGTTAACTACATGGGTAATATAGGCAAGGAAAAAAAGCTCTGTGTACAGGGACATTTTGAAATAGGCCTGAACTACATATACTTTCATAAATGAATATAATTTATTTTTTTTTTAAAGTCTGCCTGATAATCTCTCAGATTTATCATAGTTACATATTTTTCAGTTAGGGGAAGAGTAGGAAGAACAATGAGAAAATAAACAAAAGAACCCACATGATTTTCAGTGTTTATCCCTAAAATAATTGTTGTGCTGTCTCTGAAACCATCATGCCCGTACACGGTGAAGAGAATATGTCACACTTGGTTTCAGGTATCTGACAAAGTAGCTTTTGAGAATAAAAGCTACCGTTTTAGCGTTGACCTCTTTTATGTTCAGCTGAAGTACAAAAGGTGAGGAATAACATTGCCATGCTGTGTTTCATATGTTGTGTAGACAGTACGTTTTCTTTTTTTCAGCAACAGTGTGCTGTTATAGATAAAGCAATGCATTTTATTAGTTTCTAGTGCCAAACTGAAACGGAAGAAGAATTGGTTTGGAACAACTTTCTACACAGAATTAACTGCAGATGGAGAAATTAAGAAAACAGCAAAATCAAGTAGTTCTTCAAATCCAAAATGGGATGAACAGCTGACAGTGTAAGTATATCTTTTTCATTGTTTAATACTATTTTTTAGGCAGATATTGCAGGCAAATATTTACTAAGCTTGGTTGCCTACATAGTTTTCTCTGGCTGTTGATAGCTAAATGCAGACTTGAGATGATATTAATCTCAAATGATTTTTTTTTTCTCAAGTCTTAAAATGTTTGGAGAATATTTTTTGTACAGAAAGTGTTCCTTGCATACAGTTGCTATACATGACATACTCTTGATATTTGTTAGCACTGTGGACCATTCGAGTTTAAGTTCGCTTCTAGAAGATGCTACTAATTGTAACCATGTCATTCTCAACTTTAAAAGGAAAAAAAATCTCAGCTGGATAAGTAGGAGTTATGAGGAAGAGTCACTTTTTCATTTATATTTCCTAATGAAGGGATACACACACAAAAACAGTTTACTGCAAAGTGACCTTGCAACTTATCCTGATATTTGACCTTTTTAATCTTCTTGTCGTTTAATGTGGTTTAACTATGCTACAGGTGTAGATACACCTGAATATGATTCTATGAAGAACTGGTGATCTGGCTCTGTGCAGTTGGCTAGAATGCATTATTATACAGGCAAGATTTGGGTCTGGAAACAGCATAGCTACTATCAAGTGGCACTGAGTGCGGACCAGTACATTTTACAGCATCTGACCTGTCTTTGTGCAACAGCCAGCTTTGTTGTTAGTGGTAGGAACCACGCCAGGTTCCTATGACTAGCAATGCTGGAGAGTGGGGAGTGGTACAACATACCTAGATTCGGGGAACTATTTGCTTGGGAACACTTGCTTGTTAAGTACAGACCTGGGCTGAAGTCAGAAAGATATTCCTGTGCCACAGTTTTCAATGTTTCAGGTTTAGTAGACCTTATTAGCCCTTTGCAATATTGTAAAATAGAATAATATAGTCTTGGATCTGTCAATGATTTCCAGGAGTTATTACTAGCACAAGTACAGAACTATCACTATATTCACAGAGACCAGAGTTTCTGTTGAGGAGGCAGGTTTGATTTGGCAGGATTTGGTGAGCTGATAGAAATGAGGTAATTTGGCATGCACAGTACTGCCAAACAGACTCATTCCATCATCAGTATTACTTACTTAGGATCTTACCCTTATTTAAGGCATTCTGGCCTCCTCTTCTTCTGGCTGTTGGAATGGTGTTATTGGTTCAGTTGCCCAGTGTATTTGAGGATGAGTGAACTCTGGCTTACCAAATTCTCTTCACTTCTATGGGTCTGCATAGGGCATCAGCAATATATTCTTTGTTTGTAGGTGGTGGTTTGTTTTTCTTTTTCTTTCTTTTCTTTGTTGAGCTGGTCTTTTAGTAAGACTTCCAATAGAAGGCAGCCTCTTCAAAATGCAAAAATATATTTGGTCATGGATTTCAGCAAAAATGATCCATGTTGTCCAACATGTTCAAGTGACTATAAACCAAGCCCTGTTGTTGGGAGGGTGGGGGTTGTTTTTAGTATTGTTTTCATCAATGCTGATATAACTTTCTGTATCCAATACTGATGGATATGTGGCCTTTGACTTTTTGCAGTACAGTGATTCTACTCCATTTTTCACAGCCAGGAGCACTCTTACAGTACTAGACCCTGTACTACAAAACTTACTCTCCAGGACCTAGCATAGCTTCCTGTTTTCTCTCTTGAGCAGGGGACAGATTACTGCCAAAGGTTATCATAATATTACTGTAATTGCGTCCTTTACCTTTCTGCTTCCCTCCAATTTTTACTTTAGCTTCATCATTTGATTTTTTTCCCTCTGATTTCTGTGAGTATACATTATGGTTTTATATGTATTTGTGGATTCACAAATAATGTTTTATCAACACTTTCATGGCAAGCTGACACCTATTAAATGGGTTCTTCCTGCTTGCAAGTAGCTGATTGGTTGCTTTTTCCTCTTTTTAAAATATTTAGTATTTTTCTTTCTAGTGACAGATGAATATACTTACCACTTTTTTATCCACATTTAATAATGTGAGGTTTTGGTTAGAATTCTGGAATAGCGAGCAATAAGGAAAATATGTCTTTCATAAATAAAGACAGATATGGTTTATATAACTGAGATTTGAGCTTAGTGTAGGTTATTCTGATACTTCTCAAATTCCTTATGCTATCGTAATGATGCACTTCAGGCTCGATCTTAAGTAGAAATATCATAGTGTTTGCAGTTCTTAGTTAAAAATTTCCCCTTGCAGTACAAAAATTTCTTTCAGTTAATTAGTATCAAGAAATACAATAAATATGAGAAAGTGAATTAAGTTCAAATACTCCTAATAACAAGAACGAATACCTTAAAATCTGTATATATTTTTTTTAAAAAATGTATTTTATATGCAGGAATGTGACTCCACAGACTACGCTGGAATTTAGAGTGTGGAGCCATCACACTTTAAAAGCAGATGCTTTATTAGGAAGAGCCACTGTAGACTTGAGACAAGCTTTGGAAATACACAATAGAAAATGTAAGTTGTCATGAAGGATATGTTGAGTAAAGTAGAATTATTATTACTAATCTATATATCAAACTGGCAACCAGACTACTAACTATATATGTAATTACAACTGACTTTCAGTTGATGTCTTTACTTGTCTCTTCTGGAGATGTCTGTGCTATCAAGAGCAATTTAAATGTAACAATGGGATATAATTTTGAAACAAACATTAGAGTATGAGTAATTACAAATTAAGTTAAAATAGAAGTGATTAGATATAATGTTTTGTGGCAAACTGATAACTAATTTGCTAGAAGATCTGTTTTAGACTTGGTAAAAAAAAAGTCTAAACTTTCAGAAAAGCCATCTATGTAATTTTTTGTTTTCCTTCTCTGGAATCACTAATACAAAGGCTGGATATTTTTCCCTCATAATTTAGCTGCCCAGGGAGCAATAGGAACCACTGATTAATGAAACAATTGAGAACTTCCTTTTAGTACATTAGAGATTGTTGTGTTCTATGTAACTTGTAATTTTAATTGTCTTTAATAAAATTAAAACAGGTCTTCTTTATCTAATTTGGTTTTAAAAATTTTTTTCATTAGTAAAAGCAGATGGTGAATCCACACTTTAAATTCCACTCCAGAGTGGCAGTAGAATTCCAGCTAAACCAATCTCTAACCTTTCTCACAAGTTAGATGCACAAACCTGAGAGCTGTGTTTAGGGAGGTGGGGGTAAAGAGAGCTGAAAAAAAGCTTCGTTTTTCTGATTCTTACAGAAAACTGAAACAGAATCCAAAATCAAGTGGAGTTTCTTCAGCAATATTATAAAGATTCTGCCCAAGATTCCGGGCTTCTTTTTAAAATTAAAAACATTGTATCAGAAGAAACTGCCTTGTAGTAAATGATAGCAAAAAAAAAAAAAAGTAAATATTTTAACTATTTCTAACAAAATAGTTAATATTTTATTACTGTAGATCCAGGGGATGTAGGAGCCAACAACTTGGCAAATTCTTTCAGGGAATGGTTGACTGAGTTAGCTGTACATTGCATCAAAAGTAATTTATGTGCAGTGTTTCTCATTTGGGCAAGTCAGCAGTTTGACACACACAGGATTATCCAATAATTCAGTGGTTGAATAATGTGGTTTATATTCTTGAGTTGTTCAGTTATTGATACCTAATCTAAAATGCAGCACTTAAAGGCTCTTTGCTGAAGAAAATAGAATGGGGAAGTCCTCTAAATGCAGAAACTTCAGAATCAGTGCTGTTACTTTCTCCTCCTAAACACCAGCAGTATTGAATTACTGGCCACACCCCTTCCAGCTTTCTTGCCAGCTCAGTTGGACTACAGCCAGCTGTTGGTCTGGTTTGGGGAGATAACCTGTTAAAATAGCAGAAGCTAAACCAACCACCCTTTGCAGAAACAATGATTTAGAAATATGTTAATTTAACAGCTTAGTGGTAGGCTAGTTTCTTCTCTTGCTTCCCAAAATGCAGATTGCTAAATCAATAATTCTGTAGATTTGGGAGGTTTGTGCTTACTCCAGTTATTTGAAGTACATTGTAATACAGCAGTGGGTGTCTGCTAGTAACTGCTGCCCAACTACACTGCCAGACCTGCTTTCTGAAGTAATAGCTTGGAGGTACCTGATAATAGCTTATGGTAGCCTTCCCTGTTCTCATGTTTATTGTTCATTTATGATATATGTTAAGAATGAAAAAAAAAAAAGGAAATACTAGTTTAATGCATAGAAGTGCACAGTGAGCTTTAACTTTAGCTTGGACTGCTATCATATAGAGGAAAATATGGTGGTATATCTTAAAAAAATAATCTTTTAATCTGAGACCGCAAATACTAAAAGGCCTTAAACCATTTTAACCTGTTTAATGTGAACTCATAGCTGACTGTTTTTGTATTGATGACATGTAGCTTTAACTGCTGTACTAGTAATAGTTGATTTAGAGACAATTACACAGCATCCACAGCATATTTTACCTCTGGATTATGTATGTCTCTTTACAAATGTGTACATTGCTTATCAGTCATATTGAATGCTTTTACTGAACCATGTACACATTTTTTGTGTATCTCAATTATCTCAAACTTTCTTTTGGTGAAAATAGTTTCTGATTTAATATTTGGTTGCTTGAGGTATCCTCTGTGTTACTGTTTAATCCTTGGAGTTGGAATCTATGAAAATGCGAGTAAGGATTTACTAAAAATAATTTTAAAAAATGAGGAAGGACTCTATGCAGTCTTTGCATTTACTTCTTCCTCAAAGTGATCTTCTTTTTAGTAGTCTCTTGGAATTAGTTTTGGAAAGTGATAAGAGAAATGAACATAAGCTCTGGTTGTTGAATGAGGTTCCCCATGAGTTGTAATATTTGGATGTGTACTTCAGAAGTTGTTTGACTTTAAGTCTTCTCATGTTATGTAAGTAATGTGTAATTTCAAAAGGGCTTAGTGGAAACAGAAAATCTGGGAAAGCATTAACAGCATACTGAAACCATGTGGATTCTATAGCATACCTATAGAATATACTATGTAAATGGCCAATTTATGTTTACAATAGATTGTGCTTTTACCCACAGCTCCTTACTGATTTCTATGTTGATTTGAATCATCTGAATGTCTCTCATGTTCAGTTTTGTACAACTAAATATATGTATCATACTTTTATGTAGAAAGTCTCTTTTAGTGTTGTTTAGAATTTAATCTTTCCTTTATCCCTTCTCTCCTTCTCTCCCCCTACCCACCCAAACTCCATTTTTAGTGGAGAAGGTGAAAGAACAGTTGAAACTGTCTTTGGAAAACAAGAGTGGCATGGTGCAAACAGGTGAACTGACAGTTGTGCTAGATGGTTTGGTTGTTGAAGAAGAATCTCTTACAAATCTCAGTTCATCAGCAACCAGTAAGTTAAAATTATTAAATCAGATGATAATATTTTGATTAAGATTTCAAACAGATATAATAGAATATTTCTATTGAATTTGTTTCTTACTGTTCAGTAGAAGTTCAGCAAAATGGTGAGGCTGCGCATGAAAGCAGAGATGCTTCAGCAAGAAGTACATCCAGGTTGGAGTTTATTTTTGTGTTTTACACTATATGAAGTATATTAGCAAATTTATCAGTTGAAATGTTTTTTTTTTTTAAATTATTTTGAAGGGAATAGATTTTAACTGTCAAGCCCTAAATTATGTTACCACAGGTTTTAGAAACATTGCTTGTATGATAATTACATAATTTAGTTTGAGAAGAATTAAATTTACAACTCTGTTCTTCCTCTGATGGTAGTCTGCTCTCCTCTACCTTATCATTGCTTCTAGGATATGTAGCCCTATGAACATAAAAATTCAACTGACTGGAAGTCTAATAAATGCTGCAGCAGAGATTAGGGAGCAGGGGTTCAGTGTGGTTTTGCATCCTTTTTCTATTTGTTTTCTTCAGCTGTTTAAGAACCCTTTCTATTCATGCCTACCAACTTCTTGCAACATACCATCTGAACGGAAGAAAGAAGAAAAAAAAGCCTAAATTACTTCCCCCTCACCCAGTTCCTTTTTAAGGTGGTGATCAGGAAGTTGTTTAAGAGACTTGCATTGAGTTTAGGAAGCAGTATTCAGAACACTGAGGCAAAGGGGTTGCCTGCTTTCAACCTGAAGTGGCAAGAAAAAGGCTTTGGGATCAATTTAGAGCTTCATTCTTGGCTTCTCTGTCCTTGTATCAGCTCAAGGACCGCAGGGAGAGAAGTAGGAGTAGATTGTTTGCCCCCTCACCACTAGTGAGTCAAATAAATAGGTCAACATTCAGATCAATTTAATGTTACTGGCCTGCTCAGTTACCTTGCAGTGAACCCCTTTCTGTCTAAGTTCTTGACAAACCATGGAGTGAAAAAACATACAGTTGCTATGCATTTGAGTAACAGGGACACATTTGTCCTTGTACACTCGACTTGATTCTTTTTTTGAATATGTGGAGGTTTGTCTCTATTCCCCCATGGGTGCCCAGTATGAGGGGGCGAGGATAAAAAGTTGCATCTCCTTAGTTTTGTTTAGAAAGGTTTGGGACTGTTAAAGTGATTTAAAACACATCTGCATACCATTTTGAAACAGCAGTAGTAATCATTTGTTTTCATTCAACTATTGTTGCTGGAGCTGTGGCTTTTACTGGGATACTGCTCTTGATATTTTGATTAGAGTAGTTTTCCTTATAACTAATACAGCAATTGGATTTACAATTTTAAATTTAAGAGATGAAGAAATGTTTTAAGGTAGCTTCTGTGAATGTCTTCAGGAAGCAAATCGGGCTTGTAGTCTAGAGTTGAAAAGGGATAATACTTTAATTCTCTGTTTATACTTCTCCCTTGGGGAGTAGTTGGGTAAGGTGGCATGGAAGTGCTGCTGTTTCCTTTCTTACTCTGCAAAGTGGGACTTGTAACAATTCTCACGTTTTTTGTCATCTGTTTAACTTGTCTTTAATTTTTAGCCTCTAATCCTTGAGAAGATGGAGAGCTGGCATTGAATGTAATTTTTACAATATGTGTCTCTGGTGGATGGCTTTGAGCGTTTTGGGATGGATTTAAGTAAAACCAGTAATTGAATGAGACTTTCCATTCACAAGCCCTTACAGTACATTTATTTCCATGTGGCCTTATAAACGCAGAGCTGCCGGTGTATATCTCCTCACAATATCCCATCCTGCCTATGCATGGAGAAGCTCATCTTATTTTCCTTTTACTGAGGGAGAGTTTTGTTACTTTCTTAGAATAATTTGTGGAGATATGACAAACAAAACCAATTGTTCCATTTGCTTAACGAGAGGAAAAGTTTTCTTGCTCATAGCTGCCCTTTGAAGGGTCCCTAAGGCAGTTTTGGAAGATATGGCAGGCACATCAGTCTGCCCAACTCAATTCTAATATGTCATTACAAGTAAAAGATTAAGTGGATATGGAAAATCTTAACTTCTTTGAAGTATCTGAAATCCTCAAAGCCATAATTTACCTTTTGTTCCTTAATTGGTTTTGTCTTGCACTTGATTGTTATCTAGGCTGCAAACATTGTGTTATAAACTGTTGTGAATTTACTTCCATTTCTCTATTTGTTTCTTTAGCATGATTTAGTGTAGGATTTTGTTTAGTTGCATAACTGTTTAACGTGCTGTTTGTAGTAACCTAAAACGATCTTTTATTTTTATAAGATCTGCTTGTGACATTTCTAATGGGATAGACAATCAAGTACCTTCCAACTCTGTAGTACAGAATACATTCTGTATAGAAGCTGTTAATGGAGACAGCACACCATCTCCTACTCACGTTGCAGCCAGACCCAAAAATACACCAGTACCAAAACCACTTGCAGCTCAGCCTGTCAACAGCACTGGTAAGAATGGGAGAGTTATGAGAACATGTTCCATAAGACTTTTTTGTCTGGTTGAAATGTATCTGTAGTTGAGCCACTTTTTCTACACATCTTTTGTTAGAATTCAAAAATGCTGAGAGGATGTTTTTGGGCTTGAATTTATAATCTTGCATGTCCACTTCTGTGAATTTTTCTGGAATAGATCCATTCTTAAATGCACTAACTTTCATACTTTCCCATCAGTTCTCTTCTCTGAAGAAAGATTTAAAGCATCCAAAACTTCCATTTCTCTGTCCCATATTACTGATTGTCAGGAGGAAAATCAGATTTCTTTCACAATTAATTTGAGTAACTATAGTGAAGTTTCTTTTGCCATTAGATAAAACTGATTTTTAGTGCTGTCAGGGAACTACTGTGCTCTGAGTTGAGATGTGATGCGGATTCTCCTTGCCTTCCATTTTTTCAAAAGGTATGCTGTTTCAAAACAGATATTGGCAAATACTAAATTTCATTTTCCTCTTAAACACAAAAACTTTTATTATGACTACAAGCAACATTCAGTATAGTAAAACAAGTGAAAAGAAAGTATTTTTAAATTTTTGTTCCTCTGGCAAAACTTTACATCTAATAATGACTGTGCTTTCTAAGCACTGTCTGCTTTTTCTCCACAGTTTGAGAGAGATTATAGTGATAGCAGAGGAAAAAGATAACCTTAAATAGAAATAGGCAAGCTGTTAACCACTAGAACAGAGATTGTCAAACTTTCTGTAATAGAGTGGGAAATGTGGGTATGGTGGGAAGATAGCAGAAACAATTATGAACTTTAAAAGGTAATAATTAAATTAGGCATTCTCTGAAGCTTTTCTCTATTTGGAGAACTTGAATTTGATTCCCCTCTCTTTTCAGTTGAAGGCCAGAGGGCATATATATTATTTAGGCATTGTTCCCTTTTTCTTCAACAGTGGAGAGATCCATTTGAAATCTGTATTAGGATAGGGTAATTGCAAAAATAATTGATTTGTTCAAATAGTAATATTGATGAAATCATCACTGAGCTTGCACTGAGGCACTGATATAACAGTTTTCAACTACTGTACCAGTTGGTGGAGACTTTTTAAGGCAAGGCATAAACCAGGTCTCTAGCATTTGTTGATGACAGACTTTTTTTTTTCCCTACTGTTGTGCTTAGCAGGATTGTAATTTCATGTGATGTTGCTGGAATTGCTGTTTTACATCTAATTGGTGAGGTAGTTGGCTGATGTAATGTTTTATAGGTCTGTTTTGGAGATCAGCTTACTAAAAGAGCTGATGATTTGTCAGTTATTTTGCTTCTAATTCAGTATCTAATCCCATTCACTCCTTCATGTGGATGAATTGAATGGGGTTTTTTTAATGAAAGCTGAAATTTCAGTTGGCTTCTTTTCCTGTTTAAGTAAAATTGTTGCTAGTTGAAGCAGAAGTTTGAAGTAACTTCATCAGATTGTTTGTAGTTACGATTTTTTAATGTCATGCTTTACATTTGCTTGGAATAATACAAAGTCTTGTCATGTCTTAATGTAGTTAACCTGTTTTGTGTGAGCTGGAAGTAGTGGTCTATTACCCGGAATAGTTGTGTTCAAACAGCAGTACCTGTACAGATCTTACAAAACTGTACTGCCTGTAAAATCATGCATATCATTGTGCATATCAATAAAATATTTATGGCCCAGTGGTAATGCCTTAAAGAAACTGAATCGCTAATTTAAGTATATTGCTGAGACTGTTTTATTGTTTGTAATTCTTTGACCTGCTTTTCTGACCGTCTGGGAAAGCAAGAAATTGCTGATATTATATAGATATTGCAAACAGTAAGAAGAATCTAGCAATTTTTTTATTTGTGTTACACAGAATTAAATATTATCTTTAGTCTTGTAGAAAAATAATTCCAACTCTAGAAAAGGTACAAACTGATGAGTTTAAATAGAATTGTCACTGTCTGGTGTTGATTAGTGATGCAGAAAATGAAATCTGTGAATGATGTTGCACTGCTGTTAATAGGGCCTTGACTTTTAATGGGGGTCCTACAGACTGCTGTACCTGATTTTGCTTGTCGAAGGCAAGATTTTGATGTGCTGAGATACTGTTCTGTTAAGCTCTGCAGATGATTGGTATTGATTTATGGTTGACCAAGTGGGCTTGGGAGTAATAAAGCCTTCTTAGCCCTTTTTTCCTGCTAAATCTATGCCTGCTTTAAACCTTTTATGAGATCATGCTTGCTCGAGTTGGATGACATTTGTATTGTTCTTTGAAAGACAGAAATTTATTTACTTTGTGATTCTAAAATAATATTCTTCAGTCATTGAACTATGTAAGTTACATTAGCCAAATATTAATTTTTATATTTTAATCCTTCTTTTGGAGGGGAAATTTTTTCCAAGTCACACACAGGTGGTTTTTGCTTAATTGTAGGATTCTATACCTCGACTCTGAAAAAGGGAAAAAGAAATCATGTCTGAGACCTGCCTCTTACTTTTCCATATTTCATATAGTTATTTATCTCTTAATATTTTTTTTTCATATCATGCTAATCAAGATTCTTTTTTGAAGTTGATATAAGTTCAAAGTTTCAAAGCAAATAAAGCAGTACTGTTTTCAGGGAAGCAGATGAGACCTTTTTGCTAATCTAAAGAATAAGGTATAACGGTGAATTGACTGAGATATGCAGAAACTAAGAAATTACCTTAGCAGGGATGTAAAGAGGATGGGCTTGTAGACTGTAAGTTTTAATTACAGTTTTCACTGAGACAGGTGCATTGTGACTTTTTGTCATCTTATACAAAAGTGGTGCTTATGGCATAATGGTGTGACTTAAATGTATTCCTTCCATGTTTTTTATTCCAAAGATTGGTAATTTGAAAAGCAAATCTCATCAGATTCTGATACACAAATGTTCTTATTTCCCACTTCTCAGTTAATGGCGAGTCGTCTGCCTCTGCACCAGAAGCTGGTAATTCTTCTGTCTCGGAAGCTCTGATAGGTTCAGTTGAAGCTCCCATGTCTTCAGATTGCACTAGCACTACAGCAGAACCTCAGTCAACAACAGAAGCAACTAGTTGTTCTGAAAGCCACACTTCTCCATTACCTGTTGCGTCTGCTGGACTGGAACCTGCAGCTGCAACAGACTGTGCTCAACCTAATGCTAGAAACAGTACAGCTGCAGATGCAGCAAAACCAAGGGAATCCTCCTCGACCTCAAGTGCATCTGCAGAACCTGTAAGACAGCAGCCTGGTAATGCCAGTACAGAACCTCTGCCACCTGGGTATGTGGGCTTGATTTTAATGCTATAATTATATTTTGTCTGAACATGCATTTAAAGAAACAGAAATTTAATTCTATACTGGGATTGCCAAATGCAGGTCAGTTGGTTGAGATGGGGTTATTTAATCTAAAATGGTGTTCGTATTGCTGCTATAACTGGCTGGTAGCTCTTGTCCCAGAAAGTAACAACTGAGAACTGATGTGCTGAGACGGTATTGTGATCTAAATAGACAAACTCTTGGGCATTAGGGACGTGAAGACTTTTCATTTGATATATTCAAACTTATTTGGGTCACAATTTGTTACTCCTTTGTTTCTTAAACTATGAGAATGCAGTAGGGACCGAAATATAGAGAAGTGAAAATAGTCAGGAAATACTTGTAAGAACTTGCTGTGTAACAATGAGACCAATAATGTTACAGGTTAAAATAAAGATTTGAAATATAGATGTGCTCAGAATAGCTAGAAGCTTGTAATTCTACTAGCCTGTTAGAAACTACTTCTGTAGTCCTAAACCGTAAATGCAAAATTAAAGTGCTTAGTCTTTAAATGAAAATATAGTACATGCTCAAATATATATAGTGATCTTAAATTTTTTTTGATAGATGCTTTCATGTTTGGGTGAAAAGATGTCTTCAGTAACTAATTGGAAGTACTGACATTTCCATAATATTCTAAATACTAACTATTTTAGCATTTTATGAACACAGAAATTGTTTCTTACCCAAAGTGTATATACCTTGTTTCATTGTAGCTGATCTTTCAGAGAGCCTGTCTTGTACCTGCTCCCTCTGAAGGAGGTTCAGTAAGTTATTAGTGACATTTAACTTGAGTTTCTGCAGTTGGATAAACATGAAAACAAGCATCTAAAAAGATAGAAATTTTGTGTA